GAATGGTGTCTATAGAAGCTCTAATGTAGAACTCTACATTTTTTTTGTCTGAGCATCATTGAAATCAAGGATTAGTCTCTGAGTGTTTTCAGTAAATCTGGCAATTTTCATTTCCATCTGATCATTACATTTCATTCTGAGGAATCATATTGCTAATTAGTTTATCCTTTGGATGACAGACTCATTATAATGAAAGCAAATCTGAGTGCCATGGAGAAGCCATAGTAACTTGCAGTATTCCAGTACTAATTAGTTGGCAGTATCAGATTTTTCCTAGGACATGTGTGTCTCTCTTCAACTTTTCTGGTGAAGTCACTATTTTTTTTATTTTAATATCACTTCTTATCCTGTGGTTGATGTCTTACTAAATATTTCATTTAGTGGTCTTTGTGGCATAAAACTGTTATACCCTTGGAAACAGACCTGGCCACACAGAAGCTATACACAATTACTAAAAAATGCTGTGAAAACTCAATCTTCCCCATTAACAGTGGAAAAACTTGTATGTTTCTAGTCATGAATATCAAGGGTAGATTTGATTCGATGGGTAGCCATTCGGCAGGGCCAGGTCACTTGCATTTGCTTTTATGTGTCTGCACTGTCATCAGTGTTTGTGCATGAAGAGATTGCAGAAGCATGCAGAAACATCTAAATAGTAAGTCTCAGCCTAAAAAAACCCTCAAACTTTTTTGTTTGCTTTTACTATGCCTCTCTTAAAACTGGAGGTAGCAACTACATATTGATTGATGGCTGCACAAAGTCTGGGATTTTTTCCTACAAGAGAAAATCTCGTTTTGGACAAACAATAAAGATGCTGAGCATCAGCTGCTTAACCCCATGGACAAATGGTACCCTGTATTAGAGAAAATGAACATAGACAAATTTGACTGGGAACAAATAAGGAAACCAAAATATGAAGGGCTATTGTTCGGCTGATGGTGTAATCTATTGGTAACAGGGATAGACAATAGGCCGCATCCACTAAGCTAATGTAAGCCTATCCAGTATCCATTTATCTTATATAGATACTGGGAATGTTGTTAAGAGTTCATGTGTCTTCTGTAATGATTTCTTTTATAATATGTTAATAAATTTTTATTTAAAATTTTAAAAAAATTGGTCTGAAGCAGCAGAACAAAGTTTGAGTCCATTGGCACCTTTAAGACCAACAAAGTTTTATTCAAGGTGTGAAGAAATGCATTTTTTCTTCGGAGGTCTGAGAGAAGAAAAAACCTCCCCTGTATGTTTTAAAAGCTCCCCCCCCCCTCTGGGCAGAGAACAGGCAAGAGGAGGAGGAGTCACTTCAGTTGCTTCCCAGACATACCTCAGCTAAGCTCACTTACATACAAATGCTAATAGATCTAGCCAGAGAGATAATGGGTGGGTCCAGATTTCTGCCCCCCTTCCTTCAAGCAGGAAACAGAGAGTTTTGGAGGAAAGGAATGCTAGAAGGTATCCAGGGAAGAGATTCCTGGAGATCTCCAGGAAACGCCTCTTTGACCTTGCATGACCTGGTCAGCAGGTGAAGAAACAGATAGGATAAAAACTTCCTGCAATGGGAAGGACTCTCTTTTCCTTGGGTGCTGTCATCCATGAGCACACTCAGACCTCTCCCTGTTTCTTTTGGATTACCTTGCTCAGTTTGGTGCTGTGCTAAAAGTACACTTGTAAACATTTTCTTTTTAATAAATACTTTATACCTTTTAAATAAATACTTTAAAATTTATAACACACTATTTTAAAAGGAGTGCCAGTGGGAAGGCAGGCAGTTGGCAAGCGGCTATTCTAGGGGCATGCAAGGCAGTACATTTTCCCCATGGTGACCAGACGCTAGGTAACCAGGAGACACACAGCTTGGAAGGGAAGCTGGGAGTCCTGACCCACGTAGTGGGCAATTCCATACAGTGGTTAGGTGGTGGTGGCGAGCTACCCTGCAAGTAGAAGAAAAGCCTCTCCAGGTGTGGAGAAACACCTAGGAGTGCAGAGTGAAGTAGGGCCTGCAGGCCAGAGCAGGTGCGTTCCACCACACAAGGTACAGACTTTCATGTATGCACATACTTCTTCAGAGACAATGAAATGGAAATTGCCAGTCCATACATATAGGTAGAGGGTAGTTTTGAGTACTTCATCTTTGGATTGGGGAGTGGACAACATCAACTAGATGCCAACATTATGTGCAATTAATGTAATTGTTCATGCAATGCACAACATTGCTTTAGATCTGAATGATACTGCTTAGAGAGAGGTATGTGCTTTTTAACAGGGAACATGACATGCAATTAAGCCTTCTTCTTCTTCTTCTGTAACTCTACCTTTCTTTCAAAAACTGCCCTTATTCTGGCATCAAGAAATGTGCGTGATCTATTTTTTTTTAAAAAAACTTCCAACATGTTGCTTTGCAGTGTAAATACTATAATTTTGAATGCCTATGGAAAACTCACAAAGATCACATCTGATCATGGGTTCTGTTTAAATAATGTATTTTGTATTATACGCAATGATCCACCCATTTAAAGTATCTTTTTTTTATCATCAACTGCTTTTCAGCCACAGTAGCTCCCAAGGCAGCTTACCATAAAAACAAATTTCAGTTTACAATTAGAATAATTAAAATACTGAAATAAACCAGTTGCTGTGGCAGAAGGCAACACATCATCAGTTGCAGATGGAAGCTAGTCCATGAACACTTGTGTCACAATAGAACAGTTAGTCTTAAAAGGTGACAGGGCTCCTTGAATGCTCAAGGTGTGTCCTTGAACTGGACGTGAGTCCAGTCTTGTCAGGGTTAGGGATGCTACTGAATTTCTCGTTCCTGCTTCTTGGAAAAGAAAATCTCTATTTCTGTTTCCATTCTCACATCTGGAACTCCAACCCATGAGGCTTTATTTTCACATCATTTCCCCTTTTCTTGCATCAGTCCCCCCCATTAAAATGAATACACCTTCAATGTTATTTTTGCATGAGTAGGGCTGCCAAGTCCCCCCGGGGGGCGGGGAAACCCCCGCCCGGGAGGCCCGTTCCCAGGCGCTGCCGGATCGGGCCCCAGGGGAAACCCCACCCCCAAAGCACGTCACAGTGAAGTGATGTAAGCACGTCGGGGACGTTGGGGGTGGGGCCACAATCATCCGAGGGAAAACTCTATGGTTTTCCCTCGGATGATTGTGGCCACATCCCTGACGTGCTTACGTCACTTCCTTGTGATGTGCCTGCGGCGCGCGAAGACTCCCGGAGCGAGCCTGGACTCCCCCGCTCCGGGACAGGTAAGGACTTGGCAACCCTATGCATGAGTTAATGGCATATAAAGTGCAAGTGGCACATGGACGATGTAAAAGAGACAAAACTGATGAAACTGGAGGGGGAAAGTCCATAAGAACAACAACATACAAAAGCAAAAAACAAAACAAACAAAAGGATGGATTTTTATGCCCCAGATCATCATCTGGTGTGGTGGGAAGTGCTGTGAAGTCATAGCTGACTTACGGCAAACCCGTATTGTTTTCAAGGTGAGAGACAAGCACGGCTGGTTTTTCTGCATAGCAAACCTGGATTTCCTTGGTGGTTTCCCATTGAGCTACTCATCAGAGCCCATCCTGCTCAGCTTCCACGATCTCAGTAGCCCGAGCATCCAGGTCAGGGCCATCAGTGTCTACCTTTTGATAATATGACGCTCAAGTTAACTTGCACTCAGCTGAACTTGGTCCGGTGTAGACACCACTGTAGCATGGGAGAAAGGCGGCCAATAGCCATGGAATCTCCAGCTAGGTTTGTTAACCCAGCAGAATTTGGACCTGCCTTTTTCTCAGCCCCTTCCCCCACACCCCGAATGGCAGGCCTTATTGGGAACGGAGGGCAGTTTCAGCACCATTTCGCATGGATGTCTGCTGTATAAATGTGAAGTTCTCCTGTCCACAAGGCAGGATCCCTACCCTCTGTTGCTTCTCCCAGGCTAAAGGGGTGTGAGGAGGAGAACCTCACTCTGGCCTAGGCTTGCCAGGTCTAATCGTTGTGCCAGCAGGGTAGGGACCTTTCTGGGAGTCGGGAGGAGTGTTGCAATGTGCATATGTGAACAGGAAGTGATGTATGCACATCAGAGACATCTGGGGTGACACTCTGGTAGAATTTTCTTCAAATCATAGAGTTTTGCCCAAAAACCAGAGCGTCACCCCCGACGTCCCCTACGTGCCTACGTCACATCCGGTTTTCATAGGTATGTCGTGATGATTTCTACGTTCCTGCCAGTAAGGGGGTGATAGGGGGGAGAGGAGTGCCTGAAAGTGGGAAACCCCTACCCACACCGGACAGTCTGGCAACCCTACTCCAGCCTCAGAACTGGGAAGGAGAGGGGGTCCTGGCACTTCGGTCCTCTTTCTTCCCTGGACTGGCTTCATCTGACCTCCTCTCTCCTTCTAGAAGTTCAGTTCTTTCCTTCTTCCCTGGGCAGGTTTGGTGCCTTCCCTTTTATGCGATTCCCTGGCCCCGCCCAGCCTGTATCCAATCCCCTTCCGCCTGCTCTACCTGAGAGGCTATAGCAGGAAAGGGAAGCCCTTCCTGCCTCTTCTCCCTGCCGCCTGTCTCCCTGCCATGCTCCTTCCCCTTTGCTGCTCTGGGCTGCCTCTTCGCCCCTCCCATCCTGGCCTTCCCCTGGTCCAGTCTCAGCCTTGCCTTCTGACCATGCCTGTCCCTGCTGCTACCTGGCTCCCAGCCTTGTTCACGGCTGTGTTGAAGCGATCAGCCTGGTTCCCAGCTGCCACCACTCCTGGCTTTCCTCACATGGGTGAATGAGGCCCCCCAGGCATCCTGGACGACTCCAGTAGCTGGGATGGGGTCAAGTTGGGATGGGCATCAGCTCCCAACATTAAAGAAAAAAGTGTGTGTGTGTGGGGGGGGGACCCTATAGTGTGCTTTGGTTCTCCTGGAAAGGTTCCTTGCATCAAATTTCCTGTGAAACTTGTTGGGAAACAAAAGCAGCCTTCTTATTAGTTTTTGTTGTTTTATTTTAGTGTCCAGACCCATCATGTAAGCAGGACTTACTGGCTTACCTGGAGCAGATCAAACTTTACTCCCACCAGCTCAAAATCTGCAGTCAAGTTAAAGCTGAGATCCAGAATTTAGGCGGCGAGCTCATTGTGTCAGCGGTAAGTGCAAAATGCCTGGAGGACATTTCCCGAGACTATTATCTTTTGGTTCCAACCTGTGCTATAATCAGAACTAGATGTCAGGTCCTGAGATGATATTTCAGTCTCTCGGGGTTATGGCACTTGAGCCTCCATTTGAACAACTTTGCAACTAATGTGAATGTTGGGGTTTTAATTTGGTTGTAAATTAAATCGCAGTTGGCTGTATTATTCATTTTCTTCTTTCTTTGAGGGCCAAATTACACTGCACAAGCAGTCATGTATATCTTTTTTTCAGACATTTTTTTAACAGAAAGTAGCTACTGAGCTTCAGTGGAAGTACAGGGGAGAGGGGAGAAACTGCTGAACTGTTTCCTTTCTTGGGTTGCCAGCCTCCAGGTGGGGCCTGGAGATCTCCCGCTTTTACAACTGATCCCCAGCTGACAGAGGTCAGCTTCCCCTGGAGAAAATGGCTGCTTTGGAGGGTGGGCTCTATGGCACTGTACCATACTGAGGCCCTGCCCCTCCCCAAGCCCCACCCTCTCCCAGATCCAGCCCCAAAGTCTCCAGGTATTTTCCAACCCAGACCTGGCAACCCTATTTCCAACTGCGTTTAGGCTCAAAAATCAACCTTCAAGCAGCTGCACAGAAAACAGCTACAGATATTTCTTTCCTACAAGAAGAAAAGAAGCTGGGGGATGATTTGCAGGGGGTAATGGCTAGTTAAACAGCCTCTACCCACACCATTCCTTTGCCGAAATGTACAGTCTCAGAGGCTGATTTCGGATGGGGAAAAAACTGGAGAATAGATGCATAGAACTGCATATTAGACAGAACATATCCAAGGATTTTGTCTACCTTCTCAGGTTGCATAAATAGAAAACATATAATTTCGCAGTCGAAAATGTGCAGTCCAAGTTGGATGACCTGTAATTGGTTTTATTCACAAGTTCTTTGCATTTTGGTAATAGTGAGCTTCTCAGCAATCTTGCTATTTCCTCCCAGAGGCTAAAATGTAAAAAGACCCTTTGTTCTGCATGATAGCTGTGGATTCAAGCATGGGCAGAATGGGTTCGGAGAAACTTCTTCAGCTAAGCTTAAAAGGATTTTCTGTCCTGGCCCCACCCACTAGGAGCACCCAGCAACAACACACATGCTCAGAGATGGTGGAGCTGTGTTTATTTTATTTTTATTTTATTAGACTTATATCCCGCCTTCCCCACAGTGTAGGCTCAGGGAGGGTTCCAGACTTATTTTTTCTTGTTCAGTTGCACAGTTGAACCGGAATCTTCGCGACCCCATGGACCATGTCACGCCAGGCCCTCCTGTCCTCTGCTGTCCTCCAGAGTCTGCTGAACTTCATGTTGATTGCATCGATAACACTGTCTAACAATCTCATCCTTTGCTGTCCCCTTCTTCTTTTACCATCAATCAGTCCCAGCATCAGGGTCTTCTCCAGTGAGTGCTCCCTTCTCATTTGGTGGCCAAAGTATTTGAGCTTCAGCTTCAGTATCTGGCCTTCCAGGGAACAGTCAGGGTTGATTTATTTTAGGACTGACAAATTCGATCTCCTTGCAGTCCAAGGGACTCTCAAGAGTCTTCTCCAGCACCATAATTCAAAATAATCTATTTTTTGGCGCTCGGCCTTCCTTATAGTCCAACTCTCACAGCCATACATTACTATTGGGCATACCATTGCTTTGACCATTCGGACTTTTGTTGGTGAGGTCTCTACTTTTTATTATGCTGTCTACGTTTGCCATCGCTTTCCTCCCAAGGAGCAGGCGTCTTTTAATTTCGTGGCTGCAGTCACCATCTGCAGTGATCTTGGATCCCAGGAACGTGAATTCTGTCACTGCTTCCATGACCTCCCCTTCTATTTGCCAAGGAGTTATGGGGCCGGATGCCATGATCTTAGACATATAGATCCACAATTAATGCAGATTTACAATAAAAACATACATCAACAATCCAGTAAAATCAATAAAATTACAGCACTTTAAAACAAGCAATGTGCCTCAATAGACATTAATTGATTCCGGTGATGCTGTGGTTCCAGTTAGCTTCTAGGATCTGTGGTCACTGGAGGGGAGGCCAGAATGAAGTGGATGTCTGTTGCCTCAGCTAAAGGCCTGGCAGAAGAGCTCTGTCTTACAGGCCCTGCGGAACTGAACAGAGAAGGCCTTGGCCTTAGTTGAGGCAAGTAGGACATCCCTAGGACCACGGACTACTAGAAGATGCTGGTTGGTAGAACGCATGAGAGGTAAATTTTATTATGCTGCTGCCTGGGTGCCTTAAAACAGCTAGCTACGCAGTTGTCATGTTGTCAGCACTTGCTCTTGGAGAACATGGCATTTTTTAATCAAATACTCCTTGACTAGTGTTCTGAAAGATGAAGCATTAGTACAGCCCACCACGTAGTAGACTGAGGGATGAAGTCATTGGCAAACTGTTGCCCTACATCACCATGTACGTCTATGCTCTTCACCCCTATCTTCAGAGGCCAAAACACACATCCAAGACCTTCCCTGATCAGTTGGGGGGAACTGGAGAAACTCTGACAGAGGGCAGAAAGAAAGCAAAAAGGCTCAATGCCTATTTTGCCTCAGTTCCCCCCCCCCCCCTGAAGCAGAGAACAGGCTCATCTAGAGATGATAGTAGGCAAGGCACAGCATCTGGGCTAGAGGTAGTTGAGAAGCACCTGGCTGCATTGAATGAGTATAAATCCCCCAGGCCAGATGGTATGCACCCAAGAGTGCTCAAAGAACTTTCTAGCGAGCTTGCAGAACCTTTGTTCATCATCTTCCAGACCTTGAGACCTTCCATAACTCTCAATGTCTCACTTTTATTTCAATGGCCCAAGTTGGCTATGCCTCAAATTGTCACCTCTCAGCCCCCCTACCTCCCAGGGTGTCTCTTGTGGGGAGGGGAAGGGAAAGGAGTTTGTTAGCTGCTCTGAGACTCCAAGTGAAGGGTGGGGTAAAAATCCAATCTCCTCCTCCTCCTCCTCCTTCTCCTGTAGTAATTCAATTTCTTCCCCCTTACTGGATGAAGTGTCTCATCTTTTGAAAGACACCATCAAACTGGTCCCAGCCTTTCAAAGGGGAAGAGGCTTGTATTCCTATGGCTTCATCTACACTCATATGATCACTTACCATCAATATACCTCTGCTCTCCCACAATGTACGGTTTGCATCACTCAGCCTGAAAAACACATTTATTGATATTGTGATTCACTCCAAGCATCATAAATTCTTGTGCTTTTCCCTAGACCCTCAAAATTATTGGTACAAAGTACTACTGTTTTTTTAACAGCACTATTCATCTTTACCAAATGCATGGAAATGATGGAGGCCCATCTCTGTCAGCTGGGTATAGCTATCTGTCCATATACTCATGACTGGCTGGTCATGGACAGATCCCACATTGGCCTTCTACAGCACCTCTGCACCCTCCTTCACCTTGTCACTAATCTGGGCCTGGGAGTGAAGGCTCCAAAATCACATTTTTCTCTGACTCAGAAAATCAAATTCATAGGAGCCACTCTGGACTCCATAGTCATGCCTTTCTACCATTTGAGAGGGCTATGATCCACTATGATCCACCTTGCTCTTCTTTTTATTCATCAACCCACCAGTCTGCCCTCCACATACAGTGCCTCTGGGATCTCATGGTCTTCACAATGGCAGTCATACCACTGACAAGGCTCAACATGTGTTCCCCTTCAACTATGCTTCCACCGCATTTTCAAACCCATGTTCTATCACCAGTCTCAATTAGTAACATCTCCACAAGGATGCAGAAAGCATTCCTGTGGTGAACATCATTGCCACACCTCATGAGAGGCATTCCATTTGTACCAAAACCACACACTAGTTTAACCACAAAAACTTCACTATGAGGATGTGGTGCTCACTGACAGTATCGCTCCATCAGCCACCCGTGGACCCCTTAGGAAGCCACTTTCCACATCAGTATATTAGAGCTGATGGTGATCTACAGATCCATTACTGCATTCTATCTAATCCAACAACAGATACATCCAGCTCCTAATGGACAGTGTTGCATCAGTATATTATAGCAACAAAGAGGGAGATATGGGATTGACCTCCCTAAACTTCCTTGCCACTGATGTTGGAAATACAGCACAGAGATCAGGACAGTTCATATGCCACAACACAAAGGCCAACACCCTTAGCAAACTAGGCTACTTGGTTCCTGAATAATCTCTCAACCATTCACATCCTCTTCAATTGGTGGGCCTGCCTTAAGACGAATTGTTGCTTCACAGAACAACCACAAGTGTACAGCATACTGCAGCAGAGAGGGGAAGGACAGCAGCTTCTTAGGTGATGCGTCTTGAGACTTTGGGACACAGGATTTCCCTGTTTGTTTCCTCTGCAACCTCTCACCTCCATGGTCATTATCAAGATCTGAAGAGATATGTTCAACAGCATTCTAATAGCACCATTTGTGTTATACCAAACCTTCTTCACATTGTTATACCATCCCTTCTTCACATTGCCATTCCATCTTTGAGAATGCAGAAACCTCCTGCCTCAAGGCAGGGTTCTTGCTCTACACCCAGATGTCATCAAACTGAGACTAACTCCTTGGAGAATGCATTATACAGGTATTCCAGCCCTCTCTCTCATCCTCCTGAATTCCAGAAAACCATAAATGAGACATTCTTTCAACCACAAGTGAAAATGTTTCTGTTTGTACACTTCCACCTGACAGCTGGGCCCTATAAACCAGGGGTATCAAACATGCAGCCTGGGGACCGGATCAGGCCCCCAGAGGGCTTCTATTAGGCCCACAGTGGAACTGGCCATCTTCTGCTTCCAGTTGTGCTGCTGCTGCATCATAGCTTGCTTCACCAGACTCTCTTAATCACTCAGCCATTTCATGTTTTAACCTGGGTCCTAGGCTCAGAACTCTGAACATGAGATTCCTGTGGGTGAATATCAATAAATCAAATGTAGGTGTGCAGCTTACAGATACACACTTGAACAGCATAC